ATTTATTTATATATGTATGTATATTTTCTCTAGTTTGTTTCTCTTGTCCATTTCCAGATTGAATTCCTTTGAAATCTCAATTTTGTTTATTTATTAAACGTGCATGATCTTTTGTTGTCACAATAGCTACAAGCTGCATTTAGTGGATGCATATATATTCTATGTCATACACAAAAGGCTTTACAAACATAATATATCTGCAGCCTGTAGGAACTCTCATGGAGGCTGGAGCATTTATAGAAAGAGCTAGAAATCATCTTAAGCAGAGCTGTTTATTATCGGTTTGAGGTAATTCAAAAGCAAAACATTAGTAACTCTATCCTACTCAATTAACACAACACAATGTTGAGAATAAAAATAGTACACAGAAGCTTAAGAGTCCATTGAATGCTGGTAGGAATGTAAATGTAGAGCTCTCTGATTTGATTACACACTTAGCTTGGAGCCTTGGACACAACGTGGTCGTGGTGGCAGTGATTCCTTTCTATCTTGATCCAGACCTGACTCCCATTAATTTTTTTTTGACTGAATCCAATGCAAAACTAAGATTAAAATATGAAAATTTTGGATCGAATTCTAGGAAAGATGTATGTCATAATTTTGGAGTCCGTCAAGAACCCCAACATGTGTGTACTCAGCCATAAGACATAGCTAGCTAGCTTGTTTCCAAAAAAGAAAGGTTTACACCTGGATGCATTGTACCTCCTAATAAGTCTCTTAAAGCAATATCAATGCTGGATGTAAAACCCAACACATCATCGCTAACTAGGTTCCATGTAGAGAAGCCGAGAAGGTGGATGTATCACTACTTTAATGTTATATGGAAATTTAACCCCCATATGGAACTTCAAGTTTTTCAAGTTTCGTTTCATCATTTAATTTCATAAAATATATGGAACTTTCAAGTTATGTTCAATCATTTAAAAAAAAGTCAAATGGAACTTCAAATTTGTTTAAATGTTTAAGAATGAAATGGAACTTTAAGTTTTGTTTGATTTATGTGTCAGTGACTTTTTAGATTTTGAGAGTGTAAGGGTAATGCCAATGCAAGGTTTTAACAAAATTTTTAGTGAATTTTTAAGGTTTTAAGCTTTTAACACTAGCCAATGTATTCTATGTGGCTAACTTTTAGTTGTGTCAGTTTCAAGAGGCCTTGTATATATATGTACTGTCCCGCCACTATAAAAGGCGGATGGAGTGATTCAAAATAAAATAATAGGTGAGCCGCCACTTTTTATAGCGGATGGAGTAATAAAAAATAAGAAAAATATGTGACCCGCCACACTAAATGGCGAATGGAATAAAAAATTGATTTTTAAAAGTTGTGCATTGGTTTATCTTAAAAGTTGGTTTTTAAATGTTGAACTTTTAGCTAAAAAAATACCTAGTGGCACCTGACTTTTCTAATAAAAATCTAGATGTCCACATACATAGGGCATTGGCAATTTGGCATTGCCCCTAGTTTTCACCCTGGCACTTTGCATTGGTATTACTCTTACCTACAAAGCTCGATCGGTTCTATTCTAAGTTTGTCTGATTTTTTATTTTATTTATTTATAGCAGGAGTCAGGGAGGGGAAAAGAGAAGGGAAACCAATTTCATTAATCAGAATTCAGAAACCCTCGGCCAAATAATCAAGTCGTTGTTGAGCGAGTGCAGTGGTCCATGTTTTAATAAAAATGTAGGCCCAATTGGAAGAAAAGGTAAGTGTTGAATATTGAATATCAAACACAATTACCCAAGCGCCCGCCCAACTCAAAAGAGTCAAGATCCACTAGCCAGCAAACATAAATCCCGGTGCATTCGCAATTCGCAATGCGCATCCAAGTGAACCAACCAATTAACTTACGTGGTCGTGGTGGTATTTGGCTATTGGCAAGTGGCAAACTGCAAAATGAAGCAAAGCAACAACACCGCAACAACGTTAACACCAGCCTGCGTTTCTTTTTTTCGGTTGGGATTCCCTGCCATTAGCCCCACCAACCCCCTTCCTTCCTTCTGTCTTCTTCCTTTGGATCATCAATTCATTTAATTTACAAAAGGCAGAAGGAAGGAAGATATATACCATTACCATTACCATT